TCGGTATGCAGTGCTGCCGACTCAGCCAACCAGACTTCTTATAAGTCAGATTCTAACAGTTTGATGCGATGACCGAGAAAGTGAAGAATAGTCTGTTACGAATGGAAAGGAACATCATTTCTAAACAATACAACTTTAAGACTTTCCTAACACATAACACAAGCTGTTAACAGGCTAAGATATTTTACAATATATTCCACAGTAATGTGTGATGGCGCAGTCCGTCATTTGATCACACTGAAAAAAGGAAAGCCACTGACAACAGTCTGGCAGCCGAATCGAAACGCTTTTTGAGAATTTTTCATTTACACTTTAAATGTGGGAGTCAAATGGCAGTTGCGACGACAGTGGTACCAACCCAGACGCTTCTCCTTCTCTAAATCCTCACGCCAATGAGAGAGCGAATTAGCATTCTAGGGCGCGTTCCTCGAGGGGATTTACTGCGCCCCCCCCTCCGGGAAAGTAATAAAGACCATCTCAACGCCTCCTGAAGTAATTAAAGCCTGTCCTTCAACTTATATTTCTCCATACTGCAAATACCTACATTAAATGCATTCAACCTCAGATGAAATCCTATACAACCAACCCCAATTCAAAACAAATTCCTCTTCCACGTATTTCTGAAGAAACAAATTGCCGAAATCGTCACTTAATTGTGGTGCCTATTTGGTTTCCTCACCCTTGTATTAGATTTAAACTTAGTATTCAAGATATTAGTAATCTACTCTATGCATATGCATAGTACGTTTATTGATCTATGTATTAATCAACAATAAAATGAATTTTAAGTAAAAAGGTAATTAGAGAGCAGGTCGGAGAAAATTCAGATATTTTTTTCAAATCCATTCAAATCCATAGACTCACACTCTTTGACATTCTTACCTGTCTGAAAATTTGATAAATGGTAAAATAAGGTATTGAGACATGCAAACTAGTTAGGGTAATCGATATAGGATGAAAATCATATTTCAGGCTCCTCTTCGTCAATTCCTCCAACAACCGTGATTTTCCAATTTGGGCATCACCCTCGAGCAATAGGCTGTGATGCTCAACATTTTCTTTGAACTTCAGCAAGATATTTTCAAACATCGAAATGATATCTTCACGTCCCAAGAGGGGAATTGTGATGTGTGAGGGACGTGACATCAACCTGCGGCAAAATAATACATTATTTAACACATTTACAAAAAGTACTTACGTACGTACTTACGTAATAAATACGAGGTATTGTAATGGTACCGCAAAAGTGGGCGAGTTTTCGAGAGAAAAAAACTTCAAGTGAGAAGCCCTGGTATCGAAAAAAATGGAAAAATCTTGTGTCTGTACGTAGTAAATGTCTCCCTCCAACTCCTGTGCAGTCAGAATTCTCCTTTTGTGGGTCCTTGATACAAAATTGGTTGATGCCAAAACTGCTTGTCCGAGTGTCCATCTATTTTCCTACTCCTCATTTTAGCTTTCCCTGAACTTTACGATGACGCATAATGTGCGATTTCACATAGCATCTTTTCATGTATGAGTGTCTAAGCTGCCTTACTTCTAAAATTCTGAAAAAAATCAATAACAGAATTTCTCAGTCGATTCATCGGTTTGCGACTTGTTTATTTAACGAAAATGTTGAATTCGTTCGTGGTATCACCTATGATAATATAATTTTACTGTCTAATAGATCTTTATTCCTATCAAATAATATTCCAGTAAGTCTTTGCTATACCTTAGAGCAGGAGACACAGAAATTGACGGATGAACGATGATGCTCAATTTCGATTGTTCCCGATGTCGTTGAACGTTGCGATAAGCGCCGAGGATTTATTCGCGTGCATTCGTAATCTCAACCGGATGGTCAAGTGGATCAAGATTACAAAGGAAAGGTAGTTTCCTTCGACGTTAGTGCTCATGTGAATTTTAGAGTTAAAATAATAATGTACATCATTTAATTATTTTTTTTTACTCTAATTGCTTTTAAATGGGGATTTTTTTATGAGTCCTGTGTTTGCCCCCTAGTTTAGCCAGAATAATTTGCCCCCTAGTTCAGCCAGTTATTTTTTTGTTAGCAATACAGAAAATAAAATCTGCAGTTACTTTACTGTTGCAAATAAGCTTTCTATAATTCGGGAACGAAAATGTCTAGTTTTTCAAATGTCGCTAATCTCAGGCTTTGAAAAAATGTTATTTTTATTTATTTATCTTTAATTTTGACTCATATTTTAACTATTTATTGTTAAAATGATGAGAAGGGGTTCTGGAACTGAAGAAAACGTGCACAGACTGTCTTTTTCCCCATACATCACATACAGTTTTTTCGTTTTTTTGAGTAAATAAATCGAAAGTAATGCCTCTTTCGCATGCCAATTTTATTACAAATAAATGCCATTTGCTTGCCTATTTTGGGTAAAATAAATGCCTGAATTTCCGGGATCTAGTTCTAAGAATTATATAAGTTGGGTAAATCGACTATTGGCTACTAATGCGTCTTGTCTGCACGCCGCATTCTATTCCATCGTTAAATATTACATTAGTCGTATGGTTTTACCTTTCATTTGCTGTATAAATTTTTAATTTAAAATTAAATATATTTTACGCATCAGAATATTTTTCTACATTCCGCATTAAGCTTTAATAGACAGTGCACTTCGTGTGTCAGTGTACACGTGATCACGTTTTGCACTAACAGTAAGGAACATGTCCCGTCTATTTCTGTGCCTTCTGCTAGATGTCGGCCTGTCGAACGTGCCGCTTATCCTCGACGTATTTGTAGATGTTTCCCACGGCGTCGATGCCCTTGAGGATCTTGGACATCTGCAGCTCAAAGTGGTCCTCGTCCAGCTTGGAGAAGAGCATGGTGGTGTGGTCGCACGACACCCGCCCGGGGTAGGCGCACATGAGGCGGGCGGCCTTGTTCACCGGCGCGCCGATCACCGTGTACTCGCGCCGCAGGTGGTGGCCCACCACGCCGCAGTACACCATTCCTGCGAGCGGGAGCGAGGAATGGTTAATTGTCGTGTTCTCGACAATTTATCTTGCTTACATTTTTCCACTTCTATGTCTCGCACTTCTCGTAAGAAGAGAAAAATATGTAATTGTGCACCAGAAAACGGGAAATTTCCGACAGAAAAATGCGTATTGCCGGGTTCTGGTAACGAAAAATGTGTGTTTTTTTCTTTCTTTCAAAAATACGAGTTGTTTCCGTATAATCTTTTGCAAAATATTGGCAATTTTAAAAATGTTAAACAATGTTTTTCTCAAAAAATGCTCTAAATTTTTTCTTCATATTTTTCCACGGTTAGAGGAAAGGAACGCTCAAAAGATAGCGAGGGTCTAATTTTTTTGAACTCTATAAATTTTCGAAAATTACAAATTTAGAATTAATACGACAAAGTATGGGCTGTTGTAGCACCGTTAGTTGCATGCAGGTTATCCAAAACCGCCTTCGGATTTCCGAGAGTCCGGTGCGTCGCTATACGGTAAGACGTGTTCTTCGTACGTATAGTGACGCCCAGTTCACGATCACAAACATTTGTATTCAAACTGCCAGAGGCCGTCAGATTGGAGTTTGAATGAAGCAGATTGCAGGCGATGCCTTCTTCGTGTCACAGCAATGATTCTGGGAAAGCAGTGAAAGCGAAGGGCTTAGCGGTATGACAGCGTGACATATTTTAGTCCTACGTTCTGCCATTTCCGACACGTTCATCTCTGTTTATAAGACACTTGATTTTTTTATGGGAAAATCTATGATTTTAGCAATAAATAAGATTTTTAGCTGTTTCTGTGAAAAGAGGATAATCTCAGTTATTACTGAACACTCTCTAGTTGTGCAAAGGTGGGTGGAGCAGCAGATCATATGCACAGTTCGTCCTAGGAATTATGTGCATGCAGCATGATGTGAATTTAAGGGGAAGCCTTCCTCAGCACCAAACCGATGACTCAGGGGAAACAGCGAAAGTGCGTGCTTAGCGCTGTGTGTTCGTGCCACTCTTTCATAATTCCGTCTCACTTTTTCACCTTCCGATATGTTTGTCACTGTTTATAGAACTTGATTTTTTATAAAAAAAAATGTTTTCAACAATTTGTAGCTCTTTTGTTGTGTTGTTTGTGGAGAAAGATACCGTCCGTTATTACCAAAAACGTTCTAGTTGTGCCAAGGAGCAATGGGACATGAGCAGGTTTCGTCCTGACAGTTAATTGAATGCAGCTTTATCCAATGTTTTTTCGTTGCCTCTCCTACCAGTTTGCCACAGTTTTTTCAGCGGCTTATGTCTTGTTCTTCGATCATACGCTTTAATTCCATTGCGACATTAAAACATTGAGGCCATCCGGTGTCGACGCTTCTGTGAAATTGTGATAAATGTTATTTTGAATCACAATCTGTTTATCTTAGATTAGGAGAATGCACTTGCTTATCATTTAAAGAAAGGACTGCAATATTGGTGTCATTGCTCTTTTTTAGGGTCCCTTACTCATATGCAAGTGAACCCCCGATAGCATATCATTTTATCTGGTCGTAAAAGGTGACACTCTTATCGCGGCCACATTCGGAGCGCTTTCATCGGTTTAGGCTACGATGGATATTTTCCGTGATGTTAACTGAGACCTCACATTTCTGATAGACACATTAGAAGTAGTTATGAAGTAAAATTTAAATAATTGTAGTAAATGAGTTCGTAGGCTTCCGCAGCCGAAGTCAATGCATTATTGGCTATCCGGGATGAGCCGCGTCTCGGTCAATTGTGCTGACGTTTCGGCCATCTTGCTGTGGCCTTCTTCAGAGCTATACTGCTCAGCAGTAGTATAGCCCAGCAGTATAGCTCTGAAGAAGGCAACAGCAAGATGGTCGAAACGTCAGCACAATTGTCTGAGACGTGGCTCATCCCGAATAGCCAAGAATGCAATCGTAGTAAATATTTTTAAGCCGTTCTGGGTAGCTGAGGCCGGCCAGGATTGAGCACTGTTTTTACCTCGGCTTGACAGATTGGAATTCGAGTGGCATCTAGGGCACGGACTCATTCATTTTTCACTGTCATCCTTTCATTCTCTTCCTCTTCTTCTTCTTCTTCTTCTTCTTCTTCCTCTTCCTCTTCTTCTTCTTCTTCTTCTTCTTCTTTATCATTACCTCCACCACCACTACCAGCAATGGTGCCGTAAGAGGGAAGGGAAACTAGGGTGGTCTCACCGTAGGCCCCTCTCTTTCCCGAAGAGGACTCAAGGGGGCCCCTTCTTATCTTACTGTCACAGTGATGAGATGATTTTATTAAATGCAATATGCGAAGGGTATCTCCTCTTATCTTATGTGCGCGTGCTCCTTCCTGTGTGTGTCATGATTTACTAGGTATTTGCTTGCCTTCGACTCTTTCCCATTCTGAAAATGCGGACACGCGCTTCAACGAGAGACGAGGTCTGTGAAGAAGACTTGGCTCCCATTATTAAAATAAAAAAATGATTTAAAATTCCGTTACCCATGTTTACTGAATCTTCTTTTTCAAATCGTCTTCATCTAACTTTCTAGGAAGCATTTCTCTATGGGCACCAACACTGAATATTCTTTATTATTATTATTAGAGGCGCACCCAGAATTTTTCTCTGGGGATGGAGTTAACAGGTACAATGTTATAGCTCACTTTAATGTTTTCTTATGAAGAATTGTTTCATTTAAGCTGACTATAAAACGTACTTTTATTTTTAACTTATCGTTAATATTTATTACGTAAAAAATTTATATTATAAAATAGCTTCCGTAGTATATGAACATTAATGAATACTTTCTTTTTAATACGAATCATTGGTTGGGGTGAAGCTCTGTAAGCCTACCTTTTGGCGTGCGTTTATTATTATTATTATTATTATTATTATTATTATTATTATTATTATTATATTGTTATCGTTAATATCATCACAATACGAGTATAATTCACTGATCAGTGACTAAATGGGTATTTACCTGTTGTTACTCCCGCTGAGACACTGTTGACATTTTCCAAGGATGTAAGAGATTTCCAAACGTTGTACGCACATTTTAAGCCGTTCTGACTCTCTGATTCGTGTTTACAACCTCGCAGACCAAATATTATTAGAAATGATATGTCCTTGTCAAATAACGTAACTTTATTGACACATCCCAAAGACGACCGCACGATCCTAAAAATGAGAAAATGATGGTCAACATGAAGAATACACCGATTCCTTTTACCTTCTAGTATTTTACTATTTACAAAGCTAGTACGTAGATTAGAGGAAGCTCAGTAATGTTGCTAAAAATATAGGTCAAGATTTTGATGGAAATTGTCGTTTGAGAGTCTAAGTAAAAAAATCATAAACGAGTGACTTTTCACATGTATGATTGTCGGACTGATCCCCAAAATTTAAAAGATCTGTTTCAAATTTGTAGGGTCTTGAGTTCGATCATATCGATCGGAGAATATCCATTTGGAGAGTGTACGGTTGAGGTGTTAGTATTGTTAACAGACAGTTATGAAGCAAAACACTTTTTTGGTATCGGGGACCCCGGAAAGGTTTAGCTTCGACATATTTTTGTAAACATTACTTAACTTTATACTGCGTAAACGAAACGATAAAATTATGACAAGATTGGCATAAAACCAGCAATTTAAGATAATGGGCCAGCAGAGTAACGTTTAAATCCCACTACTCATCATTTAAAACCTCTCCTACACATTTCATCAGAATATTGAAATTAGGTCGTTAGGGGCGTACTTTGGAGTAACAACCCAATATTGTGTAATCACGGAGGCTATTAAGAACGAGGATCCTCCCCATCGTTAATGTAATTGTATTAGAGTGAGTAGTTGCATGAAATCTAGATTAACTCTCTCTTCAATCTTCCATAATGTTCTTGAAAGAATAAAAAATAATGTAAATTAATTTATTGACTTTTGAGAATATGATAGTTCGTATTTCAGTTCAACATTCCTTCCTTTGTTTTTATCCAAAATATAAAAAACGAAAAAAAATTGCTCAAAAGAAATATTCGCTACACTGGTACATGCATGACTTACTTGTAAACAGTTGTGTAAGCTTCATCAACTAACTGAACTAAAATTTCTGGTTTAATTTCAAACGGTATCAAGTTAACGAACATAATTGTAACTTGTCTCATCTCTGTCAGATATTCTAAGGGTTGATCTGCATCCACCTGTAATTAAAACATATACAAAAGTAAATTTAGTGAAGATACAGTATAACGTACTCTTTCTCGCACTATTTGTAACGGTTACATAAAATTATCGAATTGATATTGGCACCATGAGTATTTCACTCAAGCCTTTCAAAAAGCTCCACCAATAGGTTTGTATCACAGCAAACAAGTTTGCCAGCTACCCAACATCTAAAATCCACTTTATAAGATAATTTGACCTTATTTGCTGTATGCGACTGACAATTCTTCGAATAAATTCTTAGTTGTGAATAGCTTTCAAATAGTTTTTGTTTTAATAACAATGCTTTAAATCCGTTTTATATTTAAATACTGAATTACTCACACCGTTAAATGAACCTTTTCTTAAAAATTCACGAACAGTACACAAAGTGTTGTAAATCACAACATTTAGAAAACAGTTCAAATAACACGATGGTTTGCTTTTCTTTACAGTTGTACCTTTATATACTCGATTTCTTTTTTTTTCTTATTTCATCAAAAGTGTTTAGTCGGTTCTGCCCCACCCTGTATTACCAATAATTTTTCAACTCCAGTTTCTTTATTATTTCTAATTGTATAACTTTAAAGTATGAAATAATTTAATATTATATATAATGGATATATATTTATAATAATAAATGTTAACTATGAGAAGTTATCTTATTGAAGTTCTGGTTTCTCCCATAAAGTAATATAATTTTGAAATCAAATCAAACTACTGAAAATTTTTTATTAATTAATAAAGCAATAAACATACTTTTTTTAAAAAAAATGGGTGTTAAAAAACTGCTGAAATGGCTGATCAGAGATTACACGCGACGTGAATCGCTGCCTAGCGGGGCGTCGGCCAGTTAGTTGCCTCGTATAAAACGCTGCGATGCTTAAGCAACCGCTAATCAAATGACGTTACCTGCTGTAAAACGGGCGGAATGACGAAAGGCCTTAAAACGCTTCCCAACTTCAGTTTACAAGCTTCTGATACGCTGGGTCTCATGAGGTGTTTGAGGCCGCTGCGGTGGTAAACGCCAACAACCGTCGAAGCGCTGGGCGACTCAGCTACGCTTTTCTGGGAAGCATCTTGACTAGTTTCTGACAGAAGACAGAAAAAGTATATTTATTAGTCCATGACACATATCTGATAGTCTTTTGAGTGTCATGCTTATGACTTTATTTTACGGAGAGAGCATCAAAGGCATTTATTTTCCCATCACGTTACTTCACAGGTTTATATGAGTATTGAAAGGATTGACTTCTATTTTTTTAAAATCATTTTGCATCAACGATAATTTTGGTTTTGATCGTTTATATCTTACAATTTTTGTCTAATAATAATTATGTTGTCGATACAACAGTCAGTAAATGTTTCATTAAAACCAGGTTTTCGATTATAATATCACTGAATTGTTTGAAAAATGATACATTAAATTAAGTTACTAGTTCAGCTACACACGCTATTCACATTCATCTCTGAATCAACCTCGCATCCGAATGGGCACATATTTGTAGAGGCTGAACCATAAATGGTATCTCTCACAGGAACCCTGTTCTCAATGTTCGTGGAATGTGATTGATTGCTGTTTCCGGGGACTGCTATAGTCATTAGTCCCGTTAGTATAGTGAGTATTGTATTGCGGAATGTGGCGGTGTTCCTCCCCGATAGATGGTGAAATCCACCGCCAACCTATACGTCGGCTTGCGAGGGATTTCTCTCTCCAGGTATCTCCTTCTCCCAATGTGGCACCGCCCAAGCCGAGCCAAGCACTAAGCCCTCCCGACGTATGTGGTAGTGTAGTGCATCTAAGTGTGTGGGTAAGTAAGAGGAGTGAATAGGACAAGGAAGAGGAAAGATGGATCGCGCGCGGTCTGTTTGGAAGGGTACACCGAAAAAAAAAGAACCGTTGGAGTATACCAGATCCATGATACTGTAACACGTTTCCTTCTTACAGTATCATGGATCTGGTATACTCCAACGGTTCGTTTTTTTTCGGTGTCCTGATCCGGCATTCGCCTAGTATTAATAGGAGAAACCGCAGGTAACTTATCAGAGCAGATCACTGCTAGAATTTTCTTACAGACAATGTATGACTTCGACCAATCAATGTGGTAGTGTCGAAAATCTGCAGTCATCGGTACTCGAACCCTAGGACCCTAGAGTCGCTGCAGATTCGACGGCAATGCTGCTCCGAACTTAACTCAGCCGGTCGTGAAATCAGAAGGGAACGCTCATGTGTTGCGAATTCTTCAGACGAAACTTCTTCTTTTAAGAATAACTTTGCGAAAAAAACAACGTAAAGCAGAAAAAAAGATGGAGAGACTCGCGTGGTAGAAGTGAAACTTTTTAGTTCCTAGAAAATGTCGATTTCACGCAATTCCTTTTTTTTGTTTCTAGACGATTTTTATTATGTTTTACGATTAGAAATGGATATGTGAAATTTAACTCAAAAAACCCTTTTAATTAAATAAAAAAGTGTTATTTTTATTTATTCACCAATTTCCATAGGTTTATACATCAAGAAAGAAGTTAGTAGTCTGCTAAGTATTGTGTGACACAAATAATCTAATTTATTTAACACAATATAATTTTTATTTAGATAGGTTTTGGCATTGTAACAAAGATAATCAAATAGCGAATTTTATTATATTACAGAGAAAATAAAATTGACTTTATTAATTGTTTCACTTTATTTTACACATGATGAACCAATATATAGAAATAATTATAAAATTGGAGGGTTGACATTGCATCGTTGAATGACTAGATATCTGGGGTGTCCAACTTGCGGCCGCTGCTCTCATCAGTAGTTTTCCGTGGTTTCTCCTATCATCACCAGGCAAACGCCGGAGCAGTATCCTAACAAACGGGCCATGGACCGTTTCCTACTTCTTCCTTGTCCTATCCTCACCTCTTACACACACACTATCATGCACTACACTACCACAAATGCCAGGAGACTGGTCGGGAGCTTAGAGCTTATCCCGACTGGGGCGGTGCCCCACTGATGGGAGATATCTGGTTGGGGAAAACCCCGCTAGTAGGATCTCTCCTTACAGCGGGGAAGACCACCACCGCCTCCCGAACAAAAACATGCGCTACACTTAGGGGACTAATGACCCTACTAGTTGACGCGCTCGGAAACAATAATCAATCAATCAATAAAATTTGGATGATTTTTAATTTCTGAATTTACTAGAAAACAATTCCTTTAATCTAAACTTCACCATTAAAGGGGACGTTGACCCCAGCAGGACGCGGGCGCCAGGTGCACAATGTTCTCGCTCGACATGGTTACACGGGACTTCCACTTTTGACTAATAACCTTACGCGGGCTTCAATAGATGGCAGCGCGGGCCGCCAGTTGGGCAACCCTGCTGTAGATGATCCTTTAATGCAACTGATGCTTCTCAACCGGGCTACTTTTTTAAGCACTGTGTCAGTACAAACGAAGTTTTCCGATCGATCGACACGCGAATATCTCGGAATCCTTTCCAGTGCGGGTCAGGAGGCGGAGGGTGTTGCATCGATCGTTTTGAAACAAGGGAACGAGGGTCATCGAAAGGAGCTCAAGGGGAAGCGAACCAAGAACTTTCGAACCGTGTGACAAACCGTGCATGTTACAAGTTCTTTTCGCTTCGTAGACCGCCATGTCCAACCTATGTTTAAGCTTCGGTGGAGGCGAGTATCTCAACAATTGAAGCGTGAAGCCTAACAACGTCCTTGCGTAACTGTGAGAATTGTGCACGAGAGGTATCAAAACGACTTTCATATTATGCTGAATTCATTTAACCCCTACGATGAACTATGCACTGCCCTGTTGTTTCTCTCACGTTTGCGTAAGCAGATAGGTTCCAGTAATAACAGAGAATCTTTCTATTTTCACAACACATTGTATTTCCATTGTATTTACTGTGAAAACATTTTTTCACACAAAATCACAATCAGGAACAAACTAGTGTGATTCAGGAGAAATGGCGCTGTAACAGCAGCGCATTATTTGTAACTTTTGTAATTTTCGAAAATTCTGAGATTTCAACGAAAATGAGTCATGTGCCGTTTTTTAAGCGTCTTATCCGAGGGCAAAGTTTATTCAAATAATTTGGAACCGTTTTTGAGAAAATGTTGTCAAGGCAAATGTAAAATACCCCTAATATCAAAATATTCGTTGGAAATTTGCACGGCATCTAATTAGTGCAGATCGAGCGAGCAATAACAGTTTTGGAGAAACAAATCATGGAATCTGACTACATACGTTTTAGAGAAAATGATTTGCTAGATGTAGGGATAAGATTTATCCACATTTTCGATACCAGGGACCAACGATACGACATTGTGTGATGAAAAATCACCTCTTTCCGCTGGAGAATTACAGTACTTCTTCTTTACTACGTAAGTACATAGTAGGTAAAAAATAAATATTGAGACTAATTGCCTGTTGCTTATACGAGTTTCATTAGAGACTACACACAGCTCATACAACTAAACTGATCATCCTGGGCAATCTTCGCACTTTTTGATGAAACATACCCTCTGAGAAAACAAGAGACCTGGAACAGTAGATCCAGGGAGTCTCGGCAGTCGGGAGCTTTTCCCGGGTGAGCGGTGCCCGAGGTCGTGGGAGATTCGGTCGGGGAAAACCTCACTAGCTGACGTGTAGGTCGACGCCAGATCTTACCACCCACCTGGGAAGATCACACCTACCTCTCGAGGAAAAAGTGCAATACACATACGGGATTATTGATCTTAGCCATTGACACTTCTGAAAACACGAAATAATTAATAGCGGGAAGTACACGTCTGCGACTGAGAGCATTTTTACCTTTAAGTGAGAAAAGTATCACTGACGTCACGTTTCGCGACCTTTAACCTTAATTTCCGAGAAACTTTGGCGATCGCCGACGTGTAACACTTCGATGGGAGTGCTGCATGCTTCAGTGATTCTTCACTGGTCGTAGACATCGCCAGTTTGTACGATGGCTTCTTTTTCATCTGGTCTGTCTGTTAAAGTACGGTCCTGGCTAGCAAGAGATAAAGCTTTTACTACTGACGGGAAAATTGTTTGGTGCAAAGTGTGAAATAACGTATGCGAATTATTTTTAAACCGTTTATATCACTTTTAAAATTTGTTTAGAATATATTTTATAAGTGTGATTTCGTATTATGTAAATGTGTTTTATAGTTAGCATATTTTAACAATACATTGTATATCTCACTATATATATTTACTACATATATTCTATTTTTATTATATATTAATGTAGATATTTTGACGTTTCCTGCTACATATTTTTCTGGTCTTTGCAAATGGTTGTCATTGAACGCGTCTCGATCCACTTGTAATTTTTTTTGCTTCCATTTATAATATTACATAAAAAATGAACGTGTTTTTTGCATCTTTTAAGCAACTAGAAAGCGTTTTGGGTGCCTTATAGCATCTTCAGAAATGATCAAAAGTTCATTTGATTCCTCTCGACAACGCTATACGATTGGCACAAGTTTTAACCGGTTCCCTCTGAAAGAATTGTAGAAACACTGCGTTTTTATGGTTTTGTAGTATGGAGTATTGTGTGATCCGTATGGTGTCATAGAATCGTGTAAAATCGGCTGTCAGGGAAGGCAAGTAAGAAAAGTTTCCTGGTTATATGAAGGAAATGATATATGATAAAAAGAAGTCATTTAAAATTGTATGCTTTCAATATATAAAATAAATATGAAAATAAACATGCCCAAAGAATCACCCATACCGAAAGGAAGTAGTATGTAGCATTGTCAGTAAGGCAGTCAGTAATAGGTATTTATAATATCGGTTTTTAATGCAGCTACGAGTATAGTGCTAAAACGCCGTGAATTTTAATATCCTTTTCCGGCTTTTACATGAATCGTTACGATTGCTTCATCCTATTGACAATAACCAAACCTAATTTTGTGTTGAAATAAAAAAAAATGTATAGGTACTTTTTAATCGCAACTTTCTATACTGAAAATGGACGAAGCAGTCAACGGAATATGTTTAAAAAGTATTTTTATTGTGAACTTTGCAAAGTACAATAAAACTTTTTAAAAAGTAAATACCCACCACAAGTTAGTTGACGAGGCGCCTCCTGCTAGTTAACGCTGCTGATTAACGAGGTGCCTGCAGTTAACGAGGCGCTAGTTAATAGCGTAGTATCTTTGAGAATTCTCACACGATTCGCAATCATGGCTTCCCCTCTTCAGTCGCAGACTTCCACGTAAATTCCATCAGGTCCCACCGATTTCATTATAGCCAGTAACGCGATCCGTTTCCATAGTAAGATAAATTTGTTGAAACACTTTTTACCTGTGTCATCATTTTGTGAGCAAATGTTAACTAGAAAGTCGTTCATACGTCGTCGTAAACATGTACGCGTAGTACAAATTAACATGCGTTTGCTTTCTCCATAACAACGCAAATGGAGATCTATCGTCTCCTGTGCAGAATGCAGTTGTATTTTATCTGTTCTCCCGGTGCGTCTTTTCTTGTACTTGTAAAATTTCGCCCACTTCTTGTCATTTTGAGCAGAAATTAGATTTCTTTCTTGTGCAATATTATTCGCTTCCAATAGCTCCTTCAAGAAAACGCGGGTGTTTTTCGCTGTAATTTTTTTTGTTGCCTTTCTCATGTTGTATGTTTTTCTCACTTTTTTCAAGCGTCTTATATGTTGGTAACAGTATACGGACTATTTTGTAATATCTTGACCTGAAGAAAACTCTCGATACTCTTAAACGCAATGTTCTTGAAGTTACTTCATATTTCCTCCATACGACTACCAGTCCCCCCTTCCCCGACGAGCGTATTTACCACAAAAAAGCTCCACAGTCTGGACATATTAGTTTTACGAAAAACCGAAAATATTTCCCGCGAGAAATTGTTGAATTAAACTCCCTATTCCACTTTCAACTAAACACCACTGAGGTCGTTTATGAACGAAGCATCGTCGCAGAAAGTATCACAGCCAAATTGCTCTTCTGGACGATCAAGGAAAACGTTCTCTCTCCTCAGGCTCTAATCGTTGTACACACAAACGCACACCCGCATCGCAGAAACACCACCACACCAGGAAACACATACCAGCAGCCTCGTCTGGTCGTCGGGATAGGAAGTTCCTCGTAAGGAAGAATCGTAGAGGAGAGAGTAGTGATCTGTCACGACTATAGGCTGATGATAGACTGCTTAGTAAACAACATTGGAGGTGCAGCCGTCCCTGAGGCGAAGGGACCATGCTGACGCCGTCGCCGTTATGCAACGAGCAAATATCACGCGAATGGCCTACTATTTCACCTCCCTCTTTTTTGCAGGACGGTCGGGCACTGGAGGATCTGAGCAATACATAGTGAGTATTTCCTCTGAAGCATTTATTTTAAGTGGCCATAGGTAGAGGCGTATCTCCGGCATGGCCCACAAATCACGTGTCATAAACGCTACTCACAAAGGGGGCTATTTAGCTTTCGACATTTATGAAAAACAGTTGAATGAATTATTTTTTAATCATGTCATTCAAGTTTACACAAAAAGATTAAATAAAATGAACTGTCATTTTTTCGAGATAAATTGTTTATGAAACTATGAAAATAATGAGAATCTTATTCACTCTAGTGTATAAACAATTTGAATTCCCTATCCTCTGAAACAAATAAAATGAATCCTAATTAAAGTATCCTGACAGGGGAACACATTCTATGCTTGCTATGCGCGCCTCTGGCGACAGAGGCAATGGTGTGAGCTGCATGCTTCATGCCTCAAATGTGTCTAGAGCGGTAGTCAACATTTCCTTTCGAGAGGAGGGAAGGGAGGAGCAAAGCTGACTCAACTTTTTACATACAGAATTCCAAACTTGTTTCTTTAGTTACTAAACTCCCATTCATAGTTACGACTCCTCTCATTTTGCTCGACTGGAGGGATCGTCGGAGGGATCAACTACGGCCTTTGCGGTATTCTAGAGCTCCCTGGATTACTGGAGAGCCCTCATTACTCGGATTTAGCTCCTGAGACCATCTCGGCCCTTTACAACCACGAGTTTGCCCTTGGTCGATCTGGGTACTCGTATCCTCTTAGGAAGTAGAGTGCCAGTATCTCTTTGCGCACACGATCTACAGATGTCTCACAATAAATGTTATAAATTTCTAGGGTTTGTAGAGGGCTCAAAGGCAATCACTCTTTGCCGGCCAACATGAGGTCGGAAATTTCATATAAGGAAGTTACAATATGACATTTGCCTCTGAATGTTACGCAACTTCCAATGCACCAGCATTCGGTAGGTCACGTCTGTCGCAGTCAAAAAGATTTCATGTACCTGTCAACCACTGGCGGAGCAAAGTTGCCTAACAATCAGGGACAAATATGTAAGCGGGCCGTATGGGTCTGTTGCGGTCCAAGAGATTTCGTGTACCTGCCGAACACTACCGTGAGCAAAGTTGCTCAAAATATTGTGTTAATTTTGGCTAGGTCTAAAGAACTCAAATTTATTTTGACGAAACCTCATCAAATAAATGATGCTATGGTTATCTGAAAGGTTAGTATTTTATACTTTAATACATTTGGGCGTAAAGTAAAAGGAATAACGTATTTGTGTTTAGTTTAAACTAAGCTAACACTATTTGCCAGATATTGTAAATGTAAACTGAAATTAATTTGATTTTCAACATTAATCCCCATTTGCTGAAGGTGTAGAATTATTACCTAGCAAAACTCGTAGAGGAGTAAATCTCTGCATAATTTCCTTCTTGTTAAGCCCAGGATTGTACACAATACCGGTTACCTGTAGGTAAAAAATGACAGAAAAACTCAATTAATAGAACATCGAAAATGAAAATATAATTGTTCAATAATATTTAGACTTTCAAAGAAGAGTGGCCATTGGAAAAGCGAAGTAGATCAGAAATAAATAAGTTGTTTACTTCACTTCAATTTTAATGAAAATGCTACAAAAAATGAATGCCCAAAAACGAATTTAGAATACAATAATGACTAGCTGGGTCTTTGCGAACACTCTGCACTTTGTAAATCATTATTTTAAAAGTGAAAATAACTTCTTAATGAAACTCAACTTCTCATTCGTTTCTGCCAATTAAGGAGTGACGTAACTACAAAAAGTGTAATAGAATGACCAAAAAGGTCTCATATTGTAGATTACGATAGAGAAACCAACTTGTTACAAAAACAACGGATTAGAAGGACATTGCCGTTGATAAATGTGCCTAAGGGCGACAAGACACCCAAGAACACTTAGATTTACTCCAGAGAGATTTTACCAACCCCAAAGCATGCTCCTGCCGAGCCACCCCCTCTTCGGGTAGTATTAGTTCTCAGCTAGGCTAGCAGCCGGATATGCCGGCAGGCAGCGCATCCAGGTACGCCTCCCGGATTAAACTGGGATTTTATTTATCGCGTGAAAGAAATGCTGTTCCAATGTGTGTTCACATCAACAGATTGCTATGTGAGTGTCTCTACTAGCACAGAGAGCTACGTGAAATCAGTTGCCTAACTACCGACGAGTGAGATGAATGTAACCCGTTTCGAGCTGCGCTCATACACCAAGATAGCCGTTCTCTAAGGGAGTAATGCTCGAGAATGGAACTGGGAATTGGGAATAATGCCCTTCCGTAACGGATACTCGCGAGATGGACAGGAGAGTTTCTCGTGGTCGGGTAGCTACCGGTGTTCGGCCTGTGAATGTGCAGACCGAGGTGGCACGCGCGGTAATCGAACATCTGCCTAATCGAGCCTTTAGAATGGGTATGTAATGCTACTGGAATGTTGTGAACTAGTAAACTCTATAATGCTTTGGAGCATGAAATCTCTTCTGTTATTTCGAATGCCTTAATAAATATGAGAAACACAATTTTCGTGTATTGCGAAATGTCCGTGCACTTAGTTTATAGCTTGTCCTTTCGTGTATATATTTCACATTTTCCACCCGCGCTCGCATTTTCACAAAATAAAAAAAATAGTTGCCATGGCTTATGCCCCAACCCTCGTATTAGTGTCAGGCTAGCAGCTGTTGGCGCGGACACGGAGCGCTCCGAGGAACCGGATTAAGTCTGAGTGTGGCCATTTTGCCAGCCAGGATCTACCGGCTTTTCAGGCTGACACCGTTACAACATGCCGGGGAAAAACCCGTTTTCAGTTTCCCATGAGTATCAGGCACTGCCACGGAAAAGCCAACAGTCCACCTGGAGGTCACTCGGGCAGCCAACCCCTTTCGCCCCCAGCCCGTTTCCTCGCTGCGCTCACAGTACTCACGGTGTGAGTACCGCCAGAATTCAGAGCAACCGAATGGGGGGGGGGGATTTCAAATCCCCGCTAGAACGTCTATATAAGGTTTACAGCCGAGGCCACCCACCAACTTTGCTCTACGGTCGGTGAATAGCCCCAACTGGTGAGCCGAATGACCAAGACCTTTGCACCCATCTTGGCATTAACAACACAAGTGAAGTCCTTTACAGGAAACAAAAAAAAAGAACTCGTTTTAAGGTTCTCAGTCGCGTCGCTTACGAGTTATGCATACCGAGTTAAGAATATTAAGGAACAGTAAAACCTCATCCTAAATGGCAATTTTTTTTGAAAAATTTGGAGCCGTTTTTAAAAAACTGGCGTTTAAGCGCTACTGTAAATCCGAAGCTCTTTTTCACAGAAAAGTTTTGTTTTCGAAAAACTTCATTTGAAGCACATTGACTCACAAATACAACAGCGTTTACAAATTGCTGGATATATGCTTCTTATCGGCGTGAGAGATCTTCCAAATAAATTACATTTGTGTACTTTTAGAAAAAAATACCCCGAAATAAGCTTTACGACATATTAAAGAGTGTAATTGGCAGTATCCGTTCGAAAAGTTTGAAGAAAACCTTTGCAGCTGTTTTTGAGAAAGTGGTGTTTGAGGGTTCCTGAAAATGCGGAAATTTGATCTAGCTTTCACAGAAAACAGTTGTTTTCGAGAAACTTTATCTGACATTATTTAAAGTATATGTACTCTCTACTATACATACTCATAAATATAATAATAAATAACATGAGAGACAAGTAAAAAAATACATTTTTGTATTAAAAAAACAAAAATCAAAGAATAGAGCGTTTATGGCGTTTGTGTCATCTCACAGAGCGCATTTAGCACAATCCCTACGAGAAGTTAAAAGAAAAAGATTGAATCCGTTTTTGAGAATATCTTGTTTTAAAATTTTTTAAATTTGTACAAATTGCACGCAATATTGTGCAAAACTACTAAAATTTTCAAAAAATGTTCATGACCTTAATGAAAGAACAAATTATGGAGGACAAATTTTAATTTCAAATAAAATTTCCTATCTTTAATTTTGTATTTGTAGGAAGACCCCCGAAAAAATCAAACTTTTGGATAGACACCACTCTTATAAGTGTATTTTACAATATTTTAGAAGAACATTAAACAAAAAGAAAACTTTTTTAAAAACAGTTCGGAAATGTGTTGAGGGCTTCATGTAAATTACTCCCCAAAAACTAATGAATGTTTTTCAAAATCGCAGAACTTTGGCTCAGACCGATTGGACAGGGGTATCTTCAATTTGGAAAAAAATATTACTCATGGTTTAAGCGCTAGTGTTGTTCACATACACGGACAGACAGATGGACGGAGACGGACGGACGAACGGACGGAGGTTTTGAGAAAAACAATACGTTTTCGGTATCAGGAGACTCCAAAAGGGTATTTCCGTTGAAATCTCGAAATCGATTTTCCTCAGCATTTCATAACTTTCCTTATACTACGTATATACTGCTACATTATTCCGTATATACGTACGTATACATAAAGTAAAAAAACTAACTAGTACGAGAAAGTCTGTGTCATTCTGTAGCAGCACTATTTTAATTATCAAAGACATTTCCGCTTTTGAATAGCAGAGTTTCTAATCTTCACTGTAATGCAATGATTACAAAATGTTGAGTGTTTTTTAAGATTTCTTGTGGAATAGACTATCGTTGTTAACGCATTGTTATAATTTCTTGAATTTTCCAAACATCCTAATTCCTTAATTCCTGAAGATGAACCAAAGAACGAATTTGTAATTTATTATTGTAAGTTTGGTTGCTTTAATATCAGTAAACCGTTAATTGAGTTAATTACTTTTTGTGAGTAATGTGATCTTGATTATACCAATAAGGTGCTCGTTCATATCCGGCTATTCACCCCTGATTAACCCTCTTCATAATTTCATCGACACCCAGGGGATCTATACCGTCCCTGTTTGGGAACCCCTGCTCTAAAGAAATTATGCAATAATAACAGTAATCTCACCTTCACATGGTTTGAATCCTTTAATTCGTATTCATAATTATGGGAACTGCAGTGACCCCATGCTGAGTATGACAGAATAACATCACCTGATGAACATAGATGTTCAGCTGCCTTTACATCCAAAATAGGAGCACCACAAATTATATAATGGTTACATAATTGATCCCCAATCACTGAAAATGTCATATTTCCAGCAGAAATTGCCAGCTTCACTGTAAGAAATCATTAATCACTTATTGGGAATTATATTTTTAATTTGATAATTCAATATTTATTGAATACAGCACCACAAAATTTAGTTTCTCGAATGATAGCATGTCATTTTAACACTAACTGGTAAAACGTGTAAAACTGAACATTTCAAGATTGTTTTCTCTTAACAATGTGTATGAATCTAAAAAGTAAAAGTGGCATCAGAAATAAATTTTCATTAATAAAATTCGTTTCTGACTTTGTATAGAAAGCTAGTATAGGATACTAACATTTGAAGATAATTTTTGAAAAACAAAAATAATAGAGTCTAATGGTCAATACATGTAAGACGTTACATTTAAGATGTAACAATATTCATGCAATAATATGGCATGCCTTTATATTATTATTATTATTATTATTATTATTATTATTATTATTACTCTCGAGCGTGACTAAAGATGTCATGAGTCGGTTGAATATAAAATCTATTCCAGGTTGCAATTAGCTTCTTAAGGAGCAGATGTAGAGACTGTCGGTGCCTTTACAATACTTTCCGCAAAGTGTGGGCTTTTCCAAATAAAGCAGTATCTTGCATAGGCTTTTGAAACGACTTGTGAGTTTGGCCAAGTTCTTACACAAATTTTGCGGGACAAATCCTAGAGCTCAGGACGACTTGAGCTTTTAAGCCCCACATTCGGCTTGATTTCCAAACTCGACGTCTCTCTTTTTCCTCAAAATCCCGGATAGCAACATCCTGTTTGTTTGTCGCTCTCGTGCGATCAATTTGAATTTGTTGGTCGCAATATAGTACACAGTCCTACAGAAGACGTCATCTGATTTAGTGAGTGTTCGTACCACTTGGAGGTTTTTTTTTTAAATTTCGAGGGCAATACAGATCTGCCAATGGAGGTAACTACATGCCCTATCGTGTCTTGTATTCTTCTTTGCTAGAATTGTATAATTTGAGACTATATGATCAATGGTTTCTACTTACTCCTGGTAGATGCGACACTTATCTTGGTAAATTTTGAGAACAGCTTTATGATAATGTCGTGTTGTCAAGGTCTGATTTTGGGCAGCTATTAAAACATTCTGACTTCATTCTTCCCCTTTTAAGCCACATAAATGATTGATCTTTATTGACCTGCACCTTGTTCATTCGTTTTAGATACTGACCGTGGAATGGTTTGTCTCTTCATGATTTCTTTAAAATTTGTTGTGTCTCACATTTCAAGTTACGTAGCATCAGAATTTCAGTATCGGTGTTATTCTGCGTGTCTTGCGTAGTTTTCTTCGCAATTCTTCTTGCTTCTTTTACTTCCCATTCTTCGGTTAGATTTAATGACTTGCCTCATTAGTGAGTCATCTTGATGACTGACAACATATTTTGCCATCCCGGCTATTGCATGTGCCAAAAGGCTTCAATTTGTCTGAAGCATCTTCCTCTTTCCTTACGTGACACACAAAGTCTAGGTACATCAACTCAAGAGTATGATGCATTCTAACCGATTTCTGATGTTTCGATCCATGATTGGAATTTTGTAGATATTTTATTTCTGGAGTTCAGGGCGGACTACAGGACAAGTCTCACTCTTCTGTAATACTACTCCCAGTGATTTTTCTCTTTCACTGTGTCGTTCTCACATACTTCAATGCCCAGATATTTGTAAGTTTTACCTGGCTCAAGATCTTGTACAACAGTGTCCATATCACTACCAATGCTCTCTGGCATCACGTTTCCTCTCTTTAAATTGACTTTGGCACATTGGTCAAGCCAAATTTCGTGCAGATGTCATTGCTAAAATCATTGATAACAAACTGCATTTGGGAGAGAATCGCTTCATTCTTAGCAAACACTTTAAGATCATCCATATAAAACAAATGTGATACTGGTCTTTCATGATCATGGATATTTTAACCAAAGTAAGTGTGCGACAACTGTCTCAATTGTGGAATCAAACTAATGCAAAACAGAAGAGGGGATATAGAATCTTCTTGAAAGATTCTCCTGTAAATTTGAATACTTCATTTTTCTATTTATTTTCAGCTCGTTATTAGTAACCTGGTACTCCACTACATCATACTAGTCGATAGATCTGCAGGGTCTTCAAAGGCAATCGTATAATACACTGTTAAAGGCCTTCTGGAAGTCAAATCAAGCTATGCACAAATTACGTTTTGTTTCCTAACATCATTCAAGATAACACTGTTTACGAGCAAGATTTCCTTATAACCATAGAAGCTTTACGGGATCATTTCTGTTCAACTGGCAAAAGATGGTTCTTCTATAGGTATTTGTCCAGTTTGTTGGCTATGGCTGCAGATATAACTTTGTACATTACTGGAAAACAATTCATTGGCCTGTGGTTCTCCGCCAGAGAAGTCTCCCGTTTGGGTAGCAAATAAGAGATGCCGCGTGTGAGCCATTCCGGTGAGTTCCTTTGGGTTTTCTAAAATTTTATTAACAGCCTTTGCTGCATGAAAATGCAGGCTGTCCTGGGGTATTTCCATTTTCCGACGTTCTTAATTGCTTGGAAGAGGTCTTCCGAGAATTCGTGAACATGTTCCACTGTTTCCACAAGTTAATCGGCAGCATCAACTTCAGATTGGAGTCAAGATGCGTTTTCGTTGTAGGATCTCCTTTCTTTCCAGATTTCTGCCGAAAATATTTTGATATCATCTTTTGCAGGAGGGAGAAAATTGCCCTTGGGCTTTTGAGTAAGTTTGCGGCAGAAACTCTTCGCGTCTGTTCTCTGCTCGCGTCTGTGTCATCTCCTCTACGTTTATAACGTCTAATTCGTTGAGCCCATGCCTGGATTTTCTCTTTAGCTGCTCAGTTATCATTAGCCTTGTTGTGTCATTTTGATTTTTTTTTAAATTGCGAATATATGCCTACTTGGACCACGGTTCACGTTATTCGCCGAGATTAGTTATTTTTATCCCGGATAGATTAACGTGTCATTACTCACCATGAGGAACAGCCTTTTCGGCTGTATCCATTGCTTTAGACAACGGTGTTAGCCTTGAATTATAAACTCTGAGGTGATAGGATGATAATGAGGGGTGAAGGAACAATCACAAATACGTCGATGCATACGCAGGGTTCGAACCTGCAGCCTCCTCAGCGCAGACGACGGCTGTTGGGGCACCTCGAGGGCCGGCATATTTTATTATTGTTATTGTTATTGTTATTATTATTATTATTATTATTATTATTATTATTATTGACCAGTATGTTATTAATTGAAAAACAAAAATATATTTGAATTTAATAATTAGTGGTATATTTCTAAATTTGTTTTTTTAAGCAAATAAAAAAAATTAAAAAAGCTTGATTTCATTTGGACAATTTTGTTGCAAAATCCTCACAGAGTTTTGTATGAAATCTGTGTTTAGTAAAGCGCATTTATGTGACACCTTTGAGAAGAACTTTTACATCTGTTTCATAACTTCCAAGTGCTTGCTGGATGTATAAAGCACATACTATGGCCTTATGCACCATATGAAATATGAAATCGTCATGTTTTACTTTCCATATTGCAAGAAAAGCATCACCTATAAAGGTAAAAAAGATAACATTTTAGTTATCATTCTGTGATCATTTTTATTTTCAAAATTATAACAAATTTGAGTTTTCAACATATTTTATTTTCTATGAATATATCACTGATACCTGAAAATTTTAGAACATCACCTCCATGTGAGTAAATAACTTCTACCATTGCACCAATGTATGCATTTAAAGTGGCAGTGAGGCGGTATGTTCCTCCTTTACCTGAAGTGTTGTATTTTTCACATAATGCAGTAAATCCTTAAAGCAGACAAATATTTCAATATTATATGAGAATAAATAATTTGAGCCTTCTTTGTAATATGACTTATGATTATCCAAAATATTAATCAGTCAGTTTAGATACTTTGGAAATAATGTTAATATTAAAGTTAACAACCACAATATAAATAATGGTAAGAAAAAAATAAAAGCTGGTTAAAATATATTAACACATAAAAAGAACAGCAGTAATAGTCAGAAAAATATAATAAAATTAATGATTTGGAGATTGAAGGAAGGAAATACAGTATCACAAAGAGAAATAACTATGAGTTGCAAAGGGCATTAAAACTAACAAACTCCATAAACTCTTAAGACAAAAATATAAATTGAAGTATTTCAAAAAACCTTCTTTATTTAATTCACGCAATTTTTTATTTAATTCAAGCATGTATGAATAACAATTTTTTTGCACAGAAAAGTAAATGTGGTTATTATAATCAGGATTACTGTTGTAAACATACTTTCCAAATAACAAAACTCACCAGAAACGTCTGCAAATAACAACACACCAACAAAAGAAACTATACTCTTATTGTTTAAATCCTTGAAATAAATTATTTCATCTGGAACAAGAGTAGCCAGAGTTTGTGTTTGTTTATTACTTAGCTGACTTGTTCGTAACTGGAAACAAAGAAAGATGTGACCCTCCACTTCTACATGTTAGATATTGTTTTATAAGCTGTGACTAATTTTTATGTAAGATATCAGTATTTGAATTTCTTATCCATTCTATTTGAAAATACTTTCATCAAAAAAAATTACTTAAGATATATATTTTGCAGTTCCTAAAAATGAAAAATAAGTAGATGAAGAATGAGAATTAGTAGACAAAAATCCTAAATAGAATTTTATAGATGGCAGAAATGAATTAGTATCCATAATAAATTTAAATAAATTCTTTCCATTTTCTTCGCCCGACTTCAATGCATTTCTTTACTTTCATGAAATATTCAACAAATTGGCATGATACTTTATGCTAACATCCTAATATTCTTACCGATATTAGTTATTTATGAAAATTATTAACAAAAATGTTACAGAATTTGCACTAGCTTACTCATTAATTTGTTAGTTTGTGTATTGAATAAGTAGAACATGATGCTACCTCATTAAAAGAAGTTCTTTCTCTGAAAAGTGAGGCCTTAAATAAATCTGATATCCATTCAACATCCTTTTTCTTATTTTGATCTATATTTTCCAGTGTTTGTTGAGTAGTTGACTGGGGAAATAATCGTTTCCAGACTGTGTGAGGTGAAAGTGAAGAAGGGGCTCTCAATTCTTCTGAAGCAGATAAAATATTTCCGTCAGTTTGCATTCCTGCAAGGAAATTGAATTATTTTCTCTTATCAAAATGAAATTATCCAATAATATAGCTTTCTCAATTGCATCAATAAAAATTGAAATTAATAGAGCGAAATTATTGTGACTTCTATTCTGCAAAATGCGAACGGGGCCTGGGTAATTGTCATTACGAAAATCGCGCGCACAGCATTGATTATTGAACTTACAAGAGTTAAAAGCTAAAATATGATTTGTAGAATCACGTTTTGGCTTTATTAGTGACTAGTTAGTGTCATTAGAAAAACAGTAAATAAATGATCTTTCAATTTTAAGAACACCGCATAAACTATCTAATTTAAATTATTTGTGATATACGTGACTCATGTTACTGCACCTGCGCCAATTGCGTACGAGACTTAAGCGGCTAAGCGCCCCAGCAAGAATTGCGAAGTAAGATCGGTGGGAACGAGAACAGAAGTGCATGTGGAGGTGGATAATTAAAATAAATTTACACTTTTAACTTGGACGACTCATGATCCCTGCAATCGATTTCCTCTGTGAGGAAATAATCATAAAATTTGTACGAATTATACATGATATACGTGCAGGTGTTTGTAGACTTGTGACGCAAGTGTAGTAGGTTTGTATCATCTATCCGCAACATAGTGGACCAGTAGACAGTGTTTATAGTTATTAGCATCTCTGTTTCTAATTCTAGGCAGTGTGTAAAACAACTTTGTTTGCAACGCTATGTGCCGTTCTGTGACATTATGACGATTTGACATCTCTACGCAAGACATCCACGACTTCCATCACGTAGAGTAAACACATTTTGCGACGTATAGGCTTGCAGAGTTGTATTTACTTCCCGGGAAATTCTCACGAGTTTGTATTTTTTGTGTACTTGACCTAAACGATGACACTTTTGCAGGAAGCAGGTGGTGAAGATGCTTGATTAACTTCTTGAAGATTGTCAACAGAATTTTCACCTTACAAAATGAGAAACGTTATTGACGAATCGGTTGTTGCGTAGCCGACTGCATAAATGGAAAATACCGCAATGGGGGAAATAACAAGATCTAGTGAGTATTGTATTTTACAGTATCAGGGTTCTATTTTGCCGAAAAGTGTATTTGCTTTTACGTGACAAATAATGTGAAAACCGCTTGTGTGTGAAGTGCCTCAAGTTGTTAAAATCTCCTCCTTTTGAAAATTTTCAGCATTATTCGAAGATGAGTTACAATAATGCAGGATCTAAATATGAAATAAACAATTTTGGATATTTTTGTTTTTTAAAACAGCAAAAGTCATTTTAACTTGATTCTCATATGTTGGTAACAATATATCCCTAAAATTGAAGCATGTATTTCAAAATGGATTTTTCATCTTCTGAAATAAATGTTAGGAAAATTCAAGAAAAGGTATGATAGTTTTTGCAAAAATGCCAGGAAGGTAGAAAAATGATTGATGTAAAAAACAAAGAACATATTTTTCAGTATTTTATTTACTGGATAAAATTGATCAGTATAGTTTAAAAATTTATCTGAGTTTTTGTCTAAAGTGACATGTATTATTAATTGTATTATTTGTTTTTACTTATAAATCAAGTTGTTCTCAAATATGTTAATGAATTTTGATTTAAAGTTGATAACTATGTCAATTGCATTCAATGGTTGTTTAGATGATAAGTTGAGGATGTAAAATTTTTGTTTTATTATTTGTCGCGTACCTCATAAAGAGGGCAAATAAAAAATAATGATTAGTGATGATCATCACTAGAATGCATTTTTCATTAGATGTGTTTCTTTTAAAGCCTTCATGAATACACATATTTTGAAACTGTGTTGTAATTTGCAGGTAGATGTCTTTTGTTCAATTGTGAAATTATATATTTTATTCAATTATCTTTTATTGCAACAACTGTTGTACATGTGGTTAGGCTCATTGTATAGAAAATTCTTGTGCAATTTTGAAAATCCGTTTTATCTCTCATATTATTTTGTGGTTTCCCATTTAGAGTCGGGCATGAGCTCGCCCATTCCTGTACCTGTGATGAGTAACAGGCTGTCTGGCCATGACTTTATACCTCATGGGCAGAGTAGTGAACCTGGTAGTAGAGTAATGACACCTGGGGGTTCAGGTAGCCGCATGTCTGGTGAGTGTACTCTTGAAGTCTATTTTTAAATGTTAGCCATCCAGTACAGTAGGTTAATCATGAGTTAACCTATTGTGTATTGAATAGATTTCTTTTTCTTTGGATAGTGTGCCAAGTTTTATAAACCAATACAAATTTTTGTATTTAAGCTAATCATTTGTAGAGTTTGCCGAGATATCTGTGCACTCACCGATAGATAAAATGCAAGTGTTTCCCAGAAAGTAACTGGTCATCAAATGTCCAGATATCTCGTGCGAACACTACCAATGTGTAATAATATTAAATAAGATAAATTGGAAGTGTTTCACTTGTTTATACTATTTCAATTACTTCCATAATTTTGAGCTTTTAGTGACAAGCCAATTTAGGTTCTATCTGCTGCTTTTTATGCCTTTTTTTATTATTGTTATAATGTTTTTAAAACTATCCTCTTTACATATTTTTAATTTATTCTCAATGGGATTAATTCTTGAAAATTGTGCACTTTGAATATTTGTTGTGTTCTTTTAGAAAGCCACGACACTTTAAGAAACACTGCAAAATATGTAGGTCATTTTAGCAGTAGTTTTTTATCTTTAGTTAAGAAAATTTGTAACTATTATTTGAAACCTTCTATAATTTTTTGAATAAATTATTTTACTTATCACAATCTACCTTAGTTTGTTTTAAATTTTACAATTAAAAATTAAATTTGAAAAGAAAAAAATCTTATGATATGCCCATATTTACAAAATAGATAATTGTCTTACTTAAAATAGTTGCGAACAAAATAAATAAAAATAATTATAAATTGGAGTGTGGTCCCTAGATGGAGTGCTAGTGGAGAATCGTTGTACGTATAAATCAGTGTTGCCACTTTTATCAGAAAAGCTTTGTATTGCAAAATTTAAGAATTAAAACATTTATAGATGTTATTTTCTTCTTCAACTATTACCTCTGCTAGTTCTTTTCTTTCAAATTCTTGCTTTCATTAGGAGTTTACATCTTATGAACCTCAACCAGAAGTTGGATGCAGTTCACAGTAGTTCATAAAAAGTAGTATTCATATATTAAATTTTTAGCTAAAAAACTAACAGCAGTAGTCATAGAGGTCATTGTAGAGATCGTTTCTTGATGGACACTGGAGCAATCTAGAAAGGGTTATAAATGTTATTTTTCTCCAATAATTACCTCTCAAATTTCTTCTCCCAAATTCTTGCTTTCATTAGGAATTTACAATAGGGCTTGCCAACCCCAGCCTCAAGTTGGTTGCAGTTATGTCTTCTGAAACATGGGGAAAATAGAAAGATAAAAAATACTTAAGAAAATTAACATTTAATCTAACAATTTGTTACAAACTTTAGCCTTAAAATCTCTGTATTTATTTGTTGATAAAAACTTTAATATTGTATGTCCACTCTTAAATAAGTTCTGGGGTTGCACATTGGGTTTTGTTGAGGGTTTGAGAAGGTGGTCAGTGGTTTTGTGCAACACAAAAATGGAATGAAGGTACAGTTTTGAGTGAAGCAAATAGACCACTTTGAATGTGAGGTATTCTAGTAGGTGGATGGTGGTCTAAGAAAATTCTTTAATTTTCAAATCTTTTTATTTGTGTGTGTGTGTTTGGAAGTAACTAGACTATTTATTTAGTATTGTATGAAGTAAATAAAAATATGATACTAAGATGTAAAGACTCAGAAATTTCTAACCACTTCCATTTCTTTACTTAGAAATTAAATTTCTTCACAGAGTTATTAAATTAATCTGTGAAAAGGGCTGGTTAGGACAACTAAGATTGGGTACCAATGCTATATTTAACAAGGTCATTTTGAGTATATTTACTTAGGTTGACTTGATATTCAAATTGTGAATTAACATATTAAAAATTAGCTTATGTCATAACAAATCTTTATTTGAATGTATTTTAGCCATCACTCTCTACAGATGATTTTGTTTTATTGTATTGTATTTGTGAATAAGTAATGTATGAATCCTTGTGTTTGGGTCAAGATTATCATTGAAGTCCATAAATCAAGAGTTAAGTGAGTATGGTGTAATATGCTTTGTAAAAACAAGCATATAAATAAGCATGGGACACTTTCTCGGATTCGTTCATTTTCTTATGGAGAATAATAGTTTGTTAATCATAGAAAAGTAGCATGTACTATTTCATTTAAGCAAAAAACCTTCAATAGATCATGATAGATCAATAGATCATGTAGTTTAGACTAAATCTTGTATCACATACACAAACAAATCATTGTAAATAGAAGCATAATTGGTTTTATGATCCTTTTTGTGCTTATAAAGTTGCACATCAGTAAAGAGTTAGTAAATAAGGAAATATAAGTACAGGGTGCATTTCGTTTTATTCCACTTGTAGGCATGCTGCAATATGAAATGTGATGTAATGCCTAAATCTTGATTTTTATCTACGTAACGAAATATCAGAAAATGCAGCATGTTCCTTGCCCAGAACCTTCTTTTGTGATCATAGCATGAAAGCACATACTAATAGCATGTTACAAGAACATTTCTATGACACATCAGTGATAAAAACATCTCATTTTGAAACTTTTAGAACTGAAGAGCATGTATTTATACATTTTATTTTTGTTCAACAATTTTCTCATAATACCTTGTTGCCTTCCTGTCTTGCACTTTTCCATTCCATCAGTCTTTCAGCAGATTTATATTCTCTGTTTAATTACTTTTCACTCTTAAAATTTATTGTCCCTTAACGTTTTTTTTGCAGTTCTCCCCACAATCAATGTACCTACATTTTCTTCTTTTTTAATTTTTTCTTCATTATATCACTTTTGTTCTAGTTCTGATCTTTTTTTCTTTTAACTTACCGCATTTCTGTTATTCTTTCCCAACTCAAATTTGGATTCTTCTTCGTTATTTCATTTCTTTTCTCCTTTTCTTTCTGTAATTTCTCAAATCATATTTACAGCTTGATCCATGTACAAATATTTAAGAATGGCCTGGTTCTTCCATATGTGTGAGTATGCTTTCATTTGCCCTATCTTTTGTGTGCCCTCTCAGAAGAGAAGAAGTCCAGACGGCCTAGCTTGCACGTGTGCCTCCCGAAACAGCACTCTAGTGACTCTGTGAGCTATAGCCCTACATCTCCAGGTAGGCTGTACCTGACGTGTTCTTGTCTACGAAACATGGTATACTAATTGCATGGGTGAAAGAATGTTTGTAGTCTTTTTTTTTTGCTTATACTTTCTTTAATTGTTGGATAAATAAGTGGCATGAGTATACATTCCCTTATTGTAGCTTCTGAGAGTAGCATGAAAACCTGTCTGAAAACAGGATGTCAAGTTTATGCTTACAAGTGGTAATAGTGATTTCAGGAAATATTTGGGAATACATTTCCCATTTTACATCAAGCTGAGTGTATGTTCATCTACGTTTTCTCATTATGTAATTTTTATTATTAAGAAGTCTAATATAATAGAATATTAATAATGATTAGGTGCTCGAGGCAATATTATATAAGATTGCTAGGTTGTATTTGAAATATTCATAGCATAATTTTTATACATGATGTAGGAGTTCATATTTAAAGTCACTTATATTTTTGTATTTGATAAGCATTTTTTTTTTTTTAAGGTACGATATGGTAAAAGAAAGGAATAATATAAGTTGTTGAAAAATATTTGAGCAGAATATGAAGTTCAAAGATGTACATGTTTTGCTCACCACTTATTATGCTGTGGGAGTGAGGCTGATTATTTATTATTTCTTTACTTATTTACAAAACTCACTATAAAAAGTGCTTATTCTTTACTGACACATTATTGCTTGTTATCGCCTTTGATAAGGAGCTCAATTTACACGACATAACATACCTGGATAGAAAGAAATATGAAAACAGTTGAATGATGCTACATGTTTTTTAATGGAGGGAATTTGAAAAGACAAATGAGTAAAATTAACATCTGGGTCATCAATAAATAAGTAAATGTAAATCATTAAAATTAGGTAAAAAATAAAAATCTTGTGTGTACCATGGCTGTTAACTTGTTCTAATGATCTTGGGCTGCTGTAAGCATTCGGGTCACAGGTCCTCTTCACTGCTTGATTGTTAGAATCCTTTTAATGCCCTTGATACACAAATAACTATTATGTGACATGTACAGTAATGTTGTTGAAATTGCTTCATTATGTTTATGTAATTTCTACTTAAAATGATTTTCACTGGTGTGATTTGCCCACATCTGTTTGAATTTTCATTAATGAAAATACTCCATTTTATGAATTAATAAATGCTGTGTCTTGTAAAATGCAGCACAATGTCAAAATTTCACAAATTGAAAAATAGCTAAAATTTAAATGTTTCTTTTCAGAAAAAAAAGATAAATTAACACATTTTTGTGGTGCTAGATTCCTTATATTATTTTTATTCTTTCAAATTTTAAGGAATAACATCTCCTAACATAATAACTCTCAAACTGTAATGCCATATTAATGAAAAAGCTTACCAGTGAAGAGTGAGATGCATTAGAGATTATTGTGTATTTTTTAAATTCCAAGTTGAAATCTGACAACTAGAAACAGTACTGTCATATGAGCCTAGGCTGTCCTGCTCTTAGACAAGTGAAATAGAAACAAGAGAGAGACCTTGTTGGTTGATAGTTTTTATGAGAAAGAAAAGTTTTAAATACAAATGAAGTTTAGTTTGTTGTAATATGTACATAATAACATATCTATGAGTAATATGAGTAGAGTTTAGATTGTGGGGATCTTTTGTCACGAGTATTATGCTTTATGAAGAATTGTTTAATGTCTCAAAGGGATTGGACATTTTTTAAAGTAGTATCCCAGAAATCAGCTGGTGAATGAATCCTATTATTATT